ATTATACAAATCCAATTTTTTAATTATACATTATAATAATAAATCAAATTGAAATCTACTAATTAAGATTTTATATTATTAGTGAACTTTTTAAAAATATATTATGAAATGTTAAGATTTATTAATTTTTAAGCATGTTCTTTTTGATCATTTTACATTTTTCAACAAACTTATCAGCTAGTTTTTATCAAACATATTTAGTTAATCAACTAGTTGATAACTTATTATTACTCAAATAGCTTATCAGCTATCTTAATATTCAGTAACATTCTTACTATTTATTTCTTGAGACGATTTAAATTAAAATATTAAAAAACCATTAATTTACCTGTAAAAGTTTCTAGAATCTTTTTCAGTTTTCTATACTATTGTACGTATGACGATTGTCCTTCATATCGTATCCTTTCTTCACGAAGAAGCAACGAAATGTTTCAATGTATGAATTGTGATTGACAGGTGACAACTTAAGGAGTTAATGAGTTGAAATTTCATCAAACATATCACTTGATATCTTCAAAAGTAAATAAATATTTTTCCTTTGGTAATATATTTAACACGAAATCAATCATTTATAACGGGAGGATCAAACTACAACATGGTCAAAATAAAATAAAAACACGAAAACAAACAAATAACGTATGTTTTTGCTCTCGTAAGGATGAGCGAACCGCCTGATGTCGCGTTAACCATATATGATGTTGCATGTGCTTTTAAGATTTTGTATGATTTACTGTTTTCATTCGAACCCAACCCTGTCAATATATATGATAAATAAACATTCTTCTTTAAAAAGTTATTGTTTAAAATATTATTTTAAAATTTCAGTAAATGGAAGATATTTTAGTGGGCATCTAAGCCCATACCTTAATCGGCCCAATAATTCCTAATCGGAGCCCAGCCAACAAACATGAATGATGAAAGGCAGACTGGCAGAGGCAGAGGGAAGGGGGAAGGGAACACAGAGAAAAATTACAAAAGAAGACCCATACCGTATCCACTCTGTTTAGAAAGAAGAGATAAGGTATCGAAGCACACTGCCACGTGTCACACGCTCATGGTGGTTAATGATAAGGCATCACATCCACTCTTTATGTGGACATGATGCATGTAGTGTGATGAGCCACACATGATCCAAAGGCCACAACTACGTTGGAATTAAGATAGATTTGTTTTTGTCCGTTAGATGGTAAATACCACTATATATACCCACGGATCAATGTGGACTCAAATCATTCATAAAATGGCCTCCATCTCCTCCTCTGCCGTCGCCACCGTCAACCGCACCACCTCTGCTCAAGCTAGCCTCGTCGCTCCTTTCACCGGTCTCAAGTC